AGAAATTAAATTTCAAAATGCAACAGTCATAATTTTATTTTGTTTTAATTTTAAATAATAATAGTATCAAATTAAATTAATCTACCAACACCAACCACCCTCACCCCATTCGCCGGCGTCCATCCATTGTCGACATCCCCTGACCTCCACTCCGTCAACGACTTCTTCAGCAACTAATTATTCGGCACTCAACGAAAATTGAGTTCCTAAGCGATTGGGACTAAATAGTGCTGGTATAATTTAAAACACTTTTTTAAAATTGAAAATTGAAAAAGAACTTCAAATGTAATTTACGAAATACTTACAAGAGCAAATAACTTGAATTCTCACTGCCAAAATTTGGTTAATTGAATATGTGAGCAATTCGAATAACATAGGTTGGAAAAATCAATGATATGTGACTAGATCTCTTGAATTTGTGACATGTGGCATGTGCACTTTGACGTGTGATTTGTGACCCAATCCAATGGCCCGTGACTAAATCTTTTGGATTTGAAACAACAACCTGAACCAGTGGTCTATGACCAAATCTCTTGAATCTGTGACCTACGACCTTATTTAATGGCATGTGAACAAATCTTTTGGGTCTATGACTAAACCTCTTGAATCAATGAATTGTGATCTATGCACTTTGACATGTACCATGTTACATGTGACCTTGACTTAATCCAATGACAGGTGAACAAATCTCTTCGATCTATGACCTGTGACCTGATCTAATAGCTTGTGACCAAATATTTTGAATATGTGACATGTGACCTATGCACTTTGACATGTGACTCGTTCACTTTGACAAGTCATATATTCAAGATATTTGATTACAGAAACTCAATGGCTATGACCTACATACCTCCACCATCACCACGTGGACATTGATCCACCACCAACATTCCAACGCAACCACCACTATAACACTCTACCACAACCACCACTATTGCACTACCACCATCATCACTAACAACCTAACAGCCAAGTAAATCACCAAAGCCAAAACATCACAAAAACCACCACAAAGTCATCGCCAAACCTTCACAAAAACCACTTCCAACCACCACTTCGAGCACCTCATTACACGTCCACCAACACCACCGTCTACAACAACAGAACCACCGACACCTGCAATACCACCAATAGATCATTACCGCCATTACCACTTGAATAACCACCACCATCATCACCCCCAAACCATCAAAAACCACTTCCACCAACAACATTTTACAACCATTGTTTTCATAACACCAACAATAAAAAAAAAAACTAGAAAACCAGAATAATCTCATACCCATAAACAGCTACCCCAATTTAAGGTAGACCACTATGAGTGACAATAGCGATCTAAACATCGATCTAGATAACTCCAGACCTATAAGCGACAACCACGATCTGAACGCCACTGTGCATGGTGACGACAGTGCAAAGAATAGGGGAGAGAGAGAGAGAGAGATGAGAGAGACTACAATTCTGGGTTCGTTAATACATGATTTGTGCTCACATAAACTTAATACTTGAATTTAGAATTGTCATCTTATAAATACTCGTTATTGTATACTACTTCGTCCCAATTATATAGGCTGGATTTCCTTTTTTTCTTATCCCAAATATATATTCATGTTTCTTAATTAAGAATGTTTTGGTTTATTCCTTTACTGATATACTCTTATTTAATTTGCCTAGTTACAATCAATTTTCCCCACTTCATTTGCCTACTTCTTGAAATCATCTAAATACACACACATTTCTCACTTCATGAAAATATGAACAAAATAAACATTGACACACAATTCTCATTTCTTCTTCTTTTACTTTTGATTCTTCAACTTCTTCATTTTTTCACGAAAATATGCTTATTTGATTCTCTGAGTTCTATCTTCACACTATAACTTTTGAAAAACACTTCGACAAAAACACATTCACACACTGCCACCCTAATTTCTCTGTATATGTGATTATTTGCAAATGTAAATCTCTAAAATATTTCTCTAAACCATGAGGACGAAATCTAAAAATCATCTACATTCCATCGAAGATACATGTACAGCAATTTTAAGAAATGATCTCAACTTGAAGAAAACGATGAGGCCATTGCTTGATTTGAATGCTTCGCCATCTAAAGACGGTTATATTTTCGCTTCTCAAGAGTACCAACGTGTTGTTTCTCTGATGATCAAAATCCATCTACCAAAAATCTACGGGACCAGATTGATGCTCTTGCTGATAAAGTCGATGCTGATATCAAGAAATAGTATACCCAAATTCTACGAGGCTTGTGCATAACCAATGTTTACGGCAATTCAATGCCAACTTATGGATGTGTTCAATGCCAAATAGGCATCTGTTTTTAACAATACATTGACTTCTAGTTTTGAGTAAGTATTTTACATCAATTTAAAGCAAGTTTTTTACACACAAATGGTCTAGAGAAAAACAAATAGTGCTCCCTCTTGTATACTGATTGATCAATGGGAAACTACTAATACAACCAAATGACATTCTTCAAAAATCAAAAGTCTGTTGGTTAGGTCCGTCTCGTCGTTTTCTATTCGAAAAGGTATTATAGGTCCAAATAGGGGCTCGTATGCCAAATCTGCAAACTTACCTGATTGTCTTTAGTTCAATTCATGGAGGAAAGAGAATTGATCACTTTAATCTATGATTCGGGCCACATCACTGGCACAACTTGAGGGCTAAGTAGCGTCTACAAGGAAAATGCTTCTGCCATTACTACAACTTCAAACTCGAACTGAATATAATTCGGTAATTGCCCATTTCTCATCAACTTTTGTTCATATATGGAATCCTATAATTGTTACCCCCCGAATTTTCATCACCTCAATCATGCATGATTGCAATGTCAAAAACACATTGTTCAAATCTTCAGTTGGAAATTTTTCAAAAGCATTCTCCACT